TCACTTCGTTGCACTTCGTTACGTTCAACTGTTTATAGATTACATTAGGTTTATAGGTTACAGGTGTGTTGAACTTCACTTCGCTGCACTTCGTTACGTTCAACTGTTTATAGATTACAGTAGGTTTATAGGTTACAGGTGTGTTGAACTTCACTTCGTTGCACTTCGTTACGTTCAACTGTTTATAGATTACAGTAGGTTTATAGGTTACAGGTGTGTTGAACTTCACTTCGTTGCACTTCGTTACGTTCAACTGTTTATAGATTACAGTAGGTTCATAGGTTACAGGTGTGTTGAACTCCACTTCGTTGCACTTCGTTACGTTCAACTGTTTATAGATTAGAGTAGGTTTATAGGTTACAGGTGTGTTGAACTTCACTTCGTTGCACTTCGTTACGTTCAACTGTTTATAGATCACAGTAGGTTTATAGGTTACAGGTGTGTTGAACTTCACTTCGTTGCACTTCGTTACGTTCAACTGTTTATAGATTACATTAGGTTTATAGGTTACAGGTGTGTTGAACTTCACTTCGCTGCACTTCGTTACGTTCAACTGTTTATAGATTACAGTAGGTTTATAGGTTACAGGTGTGTTGAACTTCACTTCGTTGCACTTCGTTACGTTCAACTGTTTATAGATTACAGTAGGTTTATAGGTTACAGGTGTGTTGAACTTCACTTCGTTGCACTTCGTTACGTTCAACTGTTTATAGATTACAGTAGGTTTATAGGTTACAGGTGTGTTGAACTTCACTTCGTTGCACTTCGTTACGTTCAACTGTTTATAGATTACAGTAGGTTCATAGGTTACAGGTGTGTTGAACTCCACTTCGTTGCGCTTCGTTACGTTCAACTGTTTATAGATTAGAGTAGGTTTATAGGTTACAGGTGTGTTGAACTTCACTTCGTTGCACTTCGTTACGTTCAACTGTTTATAGATTACATTAGGTTTATAGGTTACAGGTGTGTTGAACTTCACTTCGCTGCACTTCGTTACGTTCAACTGTTTATAGATTACAGTAGGTTTATAGGTTACAGGTGTGTTGAACTTCACTTCGTTGCACTTCGTTACGTTCAACTGTTTATAGATTACAGTAGGTTTATAGGTTACAGGTGTGTTGAACTTCACTTCGTTGCACTTCGTTACGTTCAACTGTTTATAGATTACAGTAGGTTCATAGGTTACAGGTGTGTTGAACTCCACTTCGTTGCACTTCGTTACGTTCAACTGTTTATAGATCACAGTAGGTTTATAGGTTACAGGTGTGTTGAACTTCACTTCGTTGCACTTCGTTACGTTCAACTGTTTATAGATTACATTAGGTTTATAGGTTACAGGTGTGTTGAACTTCACTTCGCTGCACTTCGTTACGTTCAACTGTTTATAGATTACAGTAGGTTTATAGGTTACAGGTGTGTTGAACTTCACTTCGTTGCACTTCGTTACGTTCAACTGTTTATAGATTACAGTAGGTTTACAGGTTACAGGTGTGTTGAACTTCACTTCGTTGCACTTCGTTACGTTCAACTGTTTATAGATCACAGGAGGTTTATAGGTTACAGGTGTGTTGAACTTCACTTCTTTGCACTTCGTTACGTTCAACTGTTTATAGATTACAGTAGGTTCATAGGTTACAGGTGTGTTGAACTCCACTTCGTTGCGCTTCGTTACGTTCAACTGTTTATAGATCACAGTAGGTTTATAGGTTACAGGTGTGTTGAACTTCACTTCGTTGCGTTCAACTGTTTATAAATTCCCAGTTTTCAATGGGAAATTAGTAACGACTTTCAAAATTTTTCATTCGTTTTATAAAATATAATTTTTTTAAAGCATTCATTAGTAAAGTACATTAAAAATCACTCGTAAAGATTTTGTGTTTATCTGTACCATTTCTACTTCATAACGTGTGGATTCTTAACATAAAGATGCAAATCACATATGTAACGTATTTATAACGGATTTTCAAATTTAAATTCAATGAATATCATTTATATGTTATGCAAAAATACGTCAAACCGTTAATAAAAAGAAAAGTCAATTTAATTAAGTTGGTGAAGTGTTATAAATAATGCAATACATTTAAAACAGCATAAATTTATGCTCAAACTATGTGTGCTAAATGCACATCGCATATTAATAGTTATTTTGCATTAATTCGTAACGGACTTGTGCTTAACGGTTTTTTTGAAAATTCAAATTTTCACTTACGAATATTCATGAAAAAATTACATGTCAATTTTTTTGTCTTACCAGAATATCTTTAGCTGCTCAAATTTATGGTATAATTAATAATTAGTAATATTAATTAAACTATAATGAATCATATAAATGACTTTAGAGCATCACAAGTATAATATTTAATACAAATCAAAATTTTATATCATTGACATTGGATTTTTTCCCATATAAAAAAGTTTTACATAAATTGTACTATAATTAAGCATTTTTGTGTTTCCAAAGTGTTAAAATATTGTATTGTCACCGGGAATACATGTGCATTAAAAATTTGAGCTCGATTGGAGCAGTAGAAGTGGTCGAAAAATTGATCGCAAGATTTGAAATTTTTTGCAAACAAACAAACAAACAAACAAACAAACAAACAAACAAACAAACAAACAAACAAACAAACAAGAAAGCAAGTTAAGAAAAACGTAGTAAAATATTATCAAGAACTATTTGGAAGGCATTAGCTGACAAAAGTAAAAACTGAACTTGATTTGATAATTCGAGAAAGTAAACTGTAAAGAAAAAGTTTTAAATCAAAGTTAAAAAAAAAAACTTACAAACTTGTCATAATTTTCAGCTAGTTTTCCTTAATTATACGCTAATTAAATTGACAAACTTTGTTTCTCTCTTTGAACTTGTTTAAAAACAAAATAATTAATAATTTCCTGCTTAAATGTAGATTGTTAAGGCGTGGGTAAGGAAGGGGCTGCTATACTGGTAAATAATTTTGATTAGTTGATAATTATAAAGTTTAATGTGAATAATTAAGAGATTTTGACAAATTTATTATTTTTAAGTTTTTTGGAAAAATTACAAAAATTTTAAAATCGAAATATTGAAAAAAATTATAAAATTTTAAAATCAAAAGAATTAAAAAATTATAAAATTTTAAAATCAAAAAAAAATCAAAAATTGAAAAAATAATAAAATTTTAAAATCAAAAGGTTGAAAATAATTAAACTTAAAAAAATCAATTAAAAGGCTATTAATTAAACTAGTAACATTTAAAATAAGTAAAATCAATTAACGTTAAAATTATAAAAAGTCAAAGAATAAAGTAACAACAAAAAATGATAAACTTCACAAAAGTGTCTTCTTAAATCTTCAATAATTTCCCATCCTTCCTCAAACAAATTTCATTAACCTTTGAACTTCACAAAACATATGCTCAATTCACCACACATCCGCTATTTATTGAATATTTAAATGCATTCTGTTAATTTAATATGCCAAATCTAAAATTACTTGATATTTATAGCAATTATTACAACATTGTTGGACAGTTGTGAGCTTTAATTATGCAAATGACTTCCTTTTGACACGAGAATGCAAATTATTTTCATCCTGCATGAGCCTTCAATTTGTAATTTAATAATCTAATTTGGAGTTTATTGAAAAGTTTTCGGATAACATTTTTAAAAAAAGAAATTTTGAAATTTGTTTTTTTTTTAAAAAAAATTTCAAAATTATTTTTTTCAAAAAATTTCAAAAATTGAATTGTTCAAAACTTTCAAAAATTAAACTCTTTAAGTTTTGAAAAATTTAAATTTTTAAAATTATTTTTTCAAACCTCCAAAAAAAAACCTAAAAAAATTACTTCTCATATTTTTTTTGCAATATGTTAAATGCAAAATAACAATTATGATTCTCATATGCCAGTGTAATATTTCAATAACATTAATTCACTCGTATATCGATATTTATGCGGGGCAATAATATGAGTGGAAAAGTGAACGAAATTCATATTTTTATTGCAACATGTAATAAAATAGATTTAATGCACTTCCCTTTTCACTCGCTCATTCACAAGCAATGGTTGATGGTACTTATGTTTATGGATGTATATAGTTAATGAAAATTGTTTGTTAAGGTTTTTTGACTTTTAATTGATTTGCCTTTATTTGTTGGAAAAACACATGTGAATTATGTAAAGTTACTTTCTATCATTGATAAATATCCTGACTTACCAGTGTTCAAACTTAAGTTGTCATTACAACAAGCTATCCATAGCTTTATCCTTATTATAAACTTATACGTTAAATTTATCTTGCTGAAACTATTTTTAAAGTAACAACAACCTTTCATTTAACCAGCATTTGATCTAGAAAGCGTCAGCTCAGGCGTTTTCTAAGAAATGCTAAGCATCATTTCTAGCTCCCAGATCTACCAGGAGAATCCTAAGGCAGAAATTAATTTCAATGATCTACAATGGGTAAAAATTAAAATTAATTTGTGACTAGAAAAGCTCCTTGTCGCAGAACAGTGATGAAAGACTGCCAGCTAATTTGCAGACAAAGAATTTGTATAAGGGGTCGTTCACTTATGACGTCCGAATTTAACGGTCATTTTTCATAAAAGAAAAATGGATTTCCAGGAATTTCTATTGTACCCTAAACTAGGTGACAAGACTAGCAACAGAGTCAGATGGAAAACCTTTTGTTGTAATCTAAGCTCCACATAGGAACATGGTAAGTGTAAGGAAGAAAATAAGAAAAATGTGCCCCGAGTAGACCTAGAAACTAGGCCAAAATTTGCTGATTTGGTAATCACCCCCCCACAAAAAAAACTTGTGCACCCTTTATTATTCTTTTGTAACCCCTCACCTTAAAGTCTTGTCATACTGAGCCAGCACCCTGACACTAGTACTTTATTTCCATATAATATCTCACACTATCATTACTTATATCCATTTTATTTCTCACCGACATAAATCAAACATCAAAAAAAAAAATAAAAGTTCTTCAAACTTAAAAAAATGTTTCTTCTATCTCACCTGAAACTTCCGATGAAACGGCACTCAAAGCGATATGCAGATATGAGTTGAAAATCAAAATTACAACTCTTAGCTTAAAAAACATTTTAAATTACTACACTTTTGCAGTTGCAAGAATCGCTTTCGTTGTGTTTTAAAATTCATAGAAAAGTTTTTTTATATATTTGCTGGAAATTCTTCAACTTCTTTCTATGCTGCTTTGCTTTATTTTTTCTCTTTCTACATTGAAAAGTTGAATGAAAATGGTATTTTAAGTGTATTATTATTGAAATATACTTTTCTGCACATTCGTGGGTTGCATTGCCTCTGTTTTTTTTTTTGTTCTCTATTTGAAAAAAGCACTTAACACGCAAACGGCAAAATTCCACTATTTTTTGTTCTATTTCACTTCACTATGTGCCTTATTTTGACTTTCATGAGCACTACACAACACATGATGATGGTTCAAGTGGATTTCATTGATGGGTGTACGTACTTTTGCTGGAAATCAATCAGCTTTTTTTTACGGATGAGGCACTCTGGAAAATTAAAGATGGAATTTTTTTAAGGTTTTTTTTTGGTTCTTGTAGAGATTTTAGATGGATTTTGTTTAAAATAACGTAAGCGCTCATTTAAATCATTCTGGTCGAACTTATTGTAATTAAGTTATCAAGTGTCAAATTTCCTAAACTTCAGTTATCTCAAACCAAGTTAAGTGACTAAATAACCTAGAAAATTTTTCACAAGTTTCGCATTTTTTTTCAAACAACAAAATCCACTTCAATATGCATTAAGCTAGTTCAATTGAATTTGCACATAAATGCAATTCTTTTTGTTATTTCTGAGAGGATACCTATTTTTTATGATTTTTATTGTTCTTTGAACTTGCAATTTTTTTCAATATATGTAGAATGGATTTGGATCAAGAACCTCTTTAAAAGTCCTTAAATGAAGTTGATATTGTTCTCTGCTACCTTTTCAAATCTATTATCATAAACTTTTCATAGATTTTTCCAGAAACCTTTAACAAATTTCCATCAACAAAAAAAAATAGCCACCAATAAATGGCAAAAAACATTATCACATCCAAAACGTAATATTTCAACTTATTCTGTCCCTTTTTCCATCAATTTTTCATTCAGTTACAAAATTCCTATTAATTTTTTATTGCATTTTTATTTCATAAACATCGAACATGTGCTTTTTCACTCACACGTTCCACTACTTTTCGATTTTTTTTTGTTTTTGCTCCTTTTTTACGACTTCTTTTCTTCTTTTTAGAAAAAAAAATTATTTAGTGAGAATTTACAGCACCATAAAATGTATTTCTAAGCCACAACAAGAAGGAAGAATAAGGAGTCGTTCGAATATTATGTAATGTTAAATACAAGGCAGGATCAACTTAATTTTTGAAGGGTTTCGAACGTATGTGATCTGGTTTGAACAAGCCTTGTCCACTTTAACGAAATGTGGGAGACAGGCGCGTAGCCAGAAGGTGGATTTGGGTGACAATTCCCCCTTGTCTTGAGAAATTTCTTCATTTTGCTAGAGTTGTTATGAAAAACTCAACCCCCCACCCTAAAAGTTTTCCATGTCCCCCCTCTTCAAATTCCTGGCTACGCCCCTGGTGGGAGTTGTGCTCCTTCCCAGCTAGCGGTTCAGTATGTCAAAAAAATTAAGTCTAATTGATCATTCTTACATAAAATTGAACAAAGCTGAGAGTAAGGAAAAGGCATTGATCATACTTAAACCAGAATCCAAACAAGTTCTTCAATTTTCTTTCAATTTTTAACTCAAACGAGTAAGAGGAAGTCTATTTTGTACGTCACACGAGTTCTAAATGAACCCAACAGCGATGATGGTGATGATGTTGGTTATTATTGCTGTATTGTCTTATAAGAAGAACTTTTGAGCAAGGAAATAAGATCACATTTTTAACAATTGGATAAACTAATCCAATAATAGTTTTGTTCAACTGAAGATGCACCAGGAAGTGGATTTGTATGCTTCATCATGAATTCTTGTTATTAAGATAAAAAAAAAAGTGGAACAGAAATTCCATTGTTATGTCATTTTGGTTGTTTATCAGATCAACTGTAAATTTAACTTTTAATAATTCATAAATAAAACTGAACTTAGGACAACGAACAAGTTTGGGAACTAATAAATTATAAATTATCTTCGCATGAAAATTCTCAACTAAACTGTCGACACACATCAAGTTGACCGACACACTTCCAAAAAAACAAATAATTCTTAATTTTATAGACTTTTCAATTGACTTCTTCATCCAGCACTTTATCATGAAAATAATTCATTCTCAATTCCATCTTATTTGGTCATACACAAAAGCGATAAAAAGCATCGAGCACACTTTTATTTATACATATTTGATTACTCTCTTCATGTTCTCCACTCAATTTCAATTTGGTACATAAAAATATTTATTTATACATCCACATCCTTTTCATTCGGTTAGCAAATTGGAAGAATGTCGTAAAGCTTGAACTCAATTGATGTGTTATAGACAAAAAATTATTTTTTTTTTGATCTTATTTCTTGAGTTTTAATGCATTTTTCATTGGCATCGTTTAAAATTTAAAGACGGAGGTAAAAGTGAATGAGATGGAGATAGGTTTTGAGGTAAATAATTGTTTGATGATAAGATGTTAAGGAACACTCAAAGAAAATGATTGTTTATCAAAAAAACACACCAACTGCTATCCTAAACCTAACCTAGATTTAACCTAGAATTAACCTAGACCTAACCTATACCAAACCTTCATATTACCTAAACCAAACTCTCAATTAACCTACACAAAACCTATACCTAACCTACACCTACTTGTATTGCAGTTCGTATTTATGAAATTTAAAAACATGTAAAACATATTTGGAATTGAAAATTGTCTTAAAATTTATTAAAAAAGGACCTTAATAAAGATAACTAAGAAGAAGAACCTACACCTCCTTTCACGTAAACATAATAGGATAGATGTGGATGTATACCGAGCAAACCATACTTACTTATCCTTTAGTGTAACCATAAACCTTAGAAAATATTAACAACGAAAGTTTGTCATCAACCTCTGTTTTAGTAGATTTGACAATTTTAAGTTTCTCAACCCACGTGAACCTTTATCAAGATTTTTGTAAATGTCAACAAAGTCTTATCAATTTCCAACACATGTTATTTGGTGCACATGTCGCTAATTTATTGATAAAACTATCCAAAACAACTCAAACTGAATTAAAAAATGTATAAAAACATTTAAAAATATTTTCAGTCTCATTTGAGTCGTCAAAGTGTTTAAAAATGGACACAAAGAATGTTTTCATACTTTTAATAACCCTAACAATTCTGACCTCAAGCTTTAGTCAACGAGAATTCATAGGCTGTAATTATTTTCATACTGGACTGCACTACACCTGTCAACTACGACTTCATAATCCAAATGGATTAAATAACTTTGTAAGAATTGAAGGAAATCATATGTTTGGAATGATAAACGAGGATGTAACTCAAGTTTACATATTTTCCGATTCCAACTCAACGATTATTCCAGCAGTGATTTGTGATACATTTAGGAATGTCGTGAGCTTTATGATTCAATCATTAGGAGTTCGGGAAGTTGACAGATTTGCCTTTAGAAATTGCAGACAGCTTAGAACTCTAGACTTTCAAGAACACAGTTTGCATGATGAAAATTTCATTGAAGAACGAGCTTTTCAAGAAAACACAGAACTGATTCACTTGACATTGCTTGGACTTCAGTTTGCGACACTGCCTGAAGGTCTCTTCGTTTATCCAAGCAAATTGGAACTTTTACATCTGGAAGGCAACAGATTCTCTAACCTGCCACAAAATATTTTTGCACCACTGACAAATTTGAAAATCTTAGCGTTTGGCAGTAATAACTTGAAAGTCATTAGAACTGAATTGATTGAAATGCTGGTGAATTTGGAAGTAATATATTTAAACTTGAATCACATCCAGGAACTTCCGATGAATTTATTCAGCACAATGAGGAATTTAAGGACAATTTCTTTGGGTCACAACATGTTGACTGTCATTCACTCCGAATCTTTTGGATTTTTGCCAAACTTAACTGAACTATTTTTAACCAATAACCAAATTAATGCTTTCGATGAGAAATTGCTTTATGATACTGAATTGACGGATGTCAGGATGACTGGAAATATCTGTGCTAATGAAGATTTTAGAGACACAAGTGAATCGAGAGATATTTTGAGAACTGGATTGCAGAGATGCTTTGAAAATTATAAATATTATTAGTTTTTGAGGAGTGCAGCCAATGGAAGGTAATTCAAAAATTTAATGCTTCAAATTCTTTCAAACAACTTTCTAAAATATTCAGTAAAGTTTTCAAAATTGATCATTTATAGACTTAATAATAATAATGTGTAAAGGACCCAGCCTTTCATCTGGAGGCACTGCGATTTAACTTTAAAGACTTAACATTAATTTAAAAAATTTTAAAAATATTCTAAAGTCTCAAATATGTTTTAAATCAAGAACTGGTTCTGATTGGACATTTGGACAATTTTTTTAATTACGTTTCTCGTTTTATCAGATAAATTCGTATTTGTGTTTTAGTTTATTACAACTTTTAGAGTCCTGAATTTATAGTTTGAACTCAATTTTCAAAGATTTCACAAAAACTTAATGATGATTTTTTTAACTTTGATTTAAATTGAAAAGATTTTTAGACTTTTGAATACATCTTCAAAAATCTGTCTAAATTAAACTTTAAAATAGGTTTTTTAAGTTAACAGATCTAAGCTAAAATAGTTCGAAAACACTGATTTCAATCCAGAAAATTCAATTATTTGATATTAACTAGTTTAAAAATTTCTTTTTAATAATTTTAAATTTTGAATATTTTTTTCAAATTTCGATTCTTTTGGAATTTTGCAACTGTGTTCTATAATTCCTAGCTTCGAACTTTTATAATGAACTTAGAAATTTTAGATCGAGTTTCGTAATATTGAACACATAAATAAAAAAAATTCAAAAATTAGCATTTAGAAAAATAGTCATTGATTTGTATTAATTAATGTATATGCTTCAATTTGAAGTTTTTAAAAAGATTAATTTTTGCCAACGATCAAAATGTTCCTCATTTTTCTCTGAGTGAAATCCTCTCAAAATCATATCAATTTGAAGTCCAATAAAAACAAAATTTTCTCGTATTTATCACCACTTCCGTATTTATTTTTATAAAGCAAAGATAAATCATCGCTGGAAGTAAACTTTGTTCACATTCTCATCACATAAATCCCATCATCATCAACAACATTTTTTTCAGCTTTTTTTAATGCTCACATTTTTTCTCACTTTCACTTTACACTGATAAGGAAGAATTGAGATAAAGTGAAGGAAACGAACCTCTTTTTTTATAGACTTTTTTTTATTATCTTGTGCCTTCAACTGCAATTAAATTCTTTTGAAAATCACTTTAATTTTTAAATTTAATATTTTTAAAATTCCAAAAATTGTTTTCACTTTCACAAAAATGTTCAACCGGACCCGAAAAAAATATATTGTCTTCAATTGCTTCCGATCGCAATAACATTCAAACGCAAACTATCGCGCTCAACTAGAATAAAAAATTTCTGAGAAAATTCGTCCTACACAGAAAATAATTTTTTTTCCTTTTTTCCTCATCGTCAAGTCGAGTTTAACTCAATTCAATGCTGCAAAAATATTGAAGTGTTTGAAACAACAAATGAAAAAAAAATCAAATTTGTGTACTGCTTTGTGCTGATACTGAATGAATGAAGCAACTTTACCATGCCGAGAGCATGTTAATGTTCGATGTTATTGGTGCTATTGACATGCGCAACTGATTGGTGATAAATAATTCTGCGAATCTTGTAAATTCATTCATATGTTTAGTCGTGAATTGAATGTTGTGGGGATATGCTGTGTGATGATTTGGCTAGATGAAAATTTGGACGGAATTTTTCTTGTGTTTTTATTTGTTAAATGAATTTTTAATTGAGTTTTATTGAAAAACTATTTAATTGAATGTTGGGTCTTAATTTTGCTGGAATTTTGACTGTTTATTTTTAACATTATTAAATTAACTATAACCTAGCTAGGCTTAGATTTAAATTCAAGCCATATTCTTTTGGAATGTATGCGATGCATTACGATTTACAACAAACAATTTAGGTTTTTCCAAGCAATCGGCTTTAGACTCGCTTATTAATGACAGTTTTTTATAAATGATATTTTAAAATTCTTGATCTTGGATCAACCCCCCCCCCCCCCTCCCTCCTTCCCCTACCTCCAATCCTAAAATTAGGAGCTCAGCTTAAAATAAAGATCATTTGTAAATGCAATGCAAAACCTTGTTCTGTGGTTTAGTACCAAATATATAAACGCAGATAAAGCTCGTTAAAAACCATAAAGGAACTGATCAAAATGATCAAACAATAATTAAAATATGAACTGTTGCCAATCTTACTAGTTCTCCCCCAAGTTAACTTAGCTCTTGCATAAGCAAGGCTTATATGCCAAATTTTGAAAGACTATAAACTCTGTATGAAATGCCATACATTCATAGACTAGACCTAAATTAGATCAATTTATCAGTCTGTATAATTTCTTACAGCCTTGCCTCTCCTCCGACCATTCAATTCCTTCTAAATTACCCCATAAAAAAATAATCCCATAAAGTAAATAAAATAATCACAAAGTTTCATTTTCAAAAACTAGCTTCCTGATTTGTGTGTACGTCTAATTTCAATCAATTCATTGGCATATCCTCTCCTCCTTTTTTTCAATGCCCGCATTAAAATTTTATATTTTTCACAACAACAAAACACGAAACATGAATTTGCAGTTTTTGAAGAAAAAAAAATCATTGATTTTTTTGTTTGTTTTATAAATTATTTTGCTTTTGCTTTTTAAATTGATTTTGTTTACTTTTTTTGAGGCATTTCATGTTGAAAAACTTAACAAGTAAATTGCTTACTTATCCAATTTCTTCGATTTTTAACATTTCATCAATTTTGACTTTGAAATTCTTGAATTGACGTGGAATTTTTCTTGTTGATTTTGATATTTTGATTTAAATTGGGGAGGGATGTCTTGTTAAATGATGATTGAATTAAAGCAATTTATGTGTTTTTGGTATTTTTATATTTCAATAGTTTTTATTTGATTTTAGCAGATTTGATGGATATTTTGATTTACATTTGGCTTCAATTCATAAATTGTTGAGTATTTTCTAAGATCATGATCAGTTAATTGAGTTCCGTTATTTAACACTTCAATTAAGATAATGAATAGCAATTAATTACGGAAATTTTAAAAGATAAAAGCTATCATATTCACACAAAATTTTCAATTTTTGTGAATATGTTTTGTCTTCAAATGAGTTTATTTACTTATTTCGTCCAAAAATTAGAACATGGGCAGTTTTGAAACTATAAATAACTTTAATGGCGATTGAAAACAAAAGAAAGTCATTTATTGGTAGGGTGACCATCTGCGTAGTTTTACAACGGACAGTCCTGTATTTCAAAACCCTGTCCTGTATAAATTTGAAAACTTTGTTCCAGGTCCTGTATTTTTTTCACGAAAATTTCCGTTAATTTTCAAATTTTACTCTATGTCCTGTATTTTTCGAAAAAATTTACCAAAAGTCCTGTATTTTCAGGAAAATTAGATGGTAACCCTATTTATTGGAGGATTAGTATAGCCAGAAATGGTCCAAAGGAGTCAAGTAATGTTGGAATGTTAGGACTCTATCGGAATAGCCAGTGTCAAGACTATCGTTCCACACCTTTCAGGTTAAAGTTTATAAGCGAATAGAATCCTTGCTAAAGTTTCTAGACATGGCTCCAAACCAGTGTTTCTCAAACTTTTTTGGTCCACGGCACATTTTTAATTGATTTCCCTGATCTTTTTGAAGTCATAAAACACTATTGTGCCGTGGCACATAGTTTGAGAACCACTGCTCAAAAGAATTATTGGTCTCATAAGGTTATAAACCTTTTATCCAATTATATGGTGACAGGTAGGAAGGTCCACAACCCTATTTTCAACCATTATTACTTATAAACAACCACAAATCCAAAATCCATCCAAAAAATATCATTTCAAGCGTGCCATTACTTCATTTGCCAACAACAATCACCTCTCATTTATCAATTAATTATTGACAGTAATAGACACATAGAGCACAATTCATTCTCGACTCTAATATCCAGCCCATATTCAGAAAATCAACCATAGATATTGTACATCTTGCCTGTGTGTGAAAATGATAAGTGAGGCATAGTCATTTATTACATTACTATTTAATAATTGTTCGATGTCACGCAGAGATTTTTCAGGCTTTGATTATTGCCAGTATGAATATTAGTTCCTAAATAATAACAGCGATTTCAGTAAATGTTGAAATATTGGAAATAAATCTTTTACGCAATGTCATTCATTATGTAAGGTAATTAGAATTATGGAGTGAAAAAGTAGAAAGAAGCACAAAATGTTTTTTGGGTCGTGAGAAAATGGACATTAAAAGATGATTATCGAGTGCTTAATGGTGAGGGATCTTTGACCGTTGCTCGAATGGATTAAAAATGAAAATGACAAGTGAGAAATTATTGGATAAGGTGAAAAAGGAGGAAGGAACTTTTGTTTCTGGTCGATTTGGTAATAGGATTATAGAATTTTTAAGGATGTTGTTTTTGGATGGATATTTGGAGGGCTTTTATTGATTGGAATTTATAATAAAGTATTTTGTCATTATAAACTTAAGAGCACAATAACTCTGTGGCTCATTGGTTTAGGTCATTGTTACTCAAAAGAGGAACATAAACTCAGCATTCCTAGGTTCGAAACTCGACAAAAAAATGGTTCAAACATTGTACTCAAACAAGATTGCAGCTAGTTTCTTAATCAGCTCCCTGAATCCTTTAATTCCTCCTCTTCAGCTTCCTCCACTATCTCAAATCCTCAACTTAATGCCGTGGTTTCAAAAAACTGATTCAAATTCACATTCGCTTCAAAAATCGTATTAAAGTGTAATTAAGAATCCCTCATGCATTAAGTTATAGGATTAAAATTCATCATCTTTATAGTATTGTATGTAAACAGCTCGTGTGCTCATCAGACACCTCAAAAAGCAATTTTTCAGACATAAAAAATTTATTTAAAGCTCAAAACTTAATTTACTGTACGACTGAGCTTATCACAAATCGTTTTTGCTGGTGGAAATATATGTATGAAAAAATTATTAAACTAAATAGGAAGGCATTAAGTATCGTACAAATTACTTTTAACATCGTCGTCAGTGTTGTTGTCGTGCGACAAATCTCTTTAGTAATTAAATTTATTCATTCGCAACAAATATGTGAACTTGTGAGTGTGTTTGTGTGATTGTGTTCATCTATGCTAATATTCTTG